TTCCAGGGTGAGCTAACCTAGACTTCAGCACACACAATAATTCCAGGATGAGCTGCTGCAAAGTAGAATTGGAGTTTATTAAAAGGAGGTTTTCAATGTCAGTTTCAGCACAGTGTTGAGAGACACACAGGGAAAGTGAATGTGGGCCCTGCAGAGGAAGGCCACATGTCATCTTTCCAGGAGCTCTGTCCTTAAAGTTGAACTGGACTTGTGGGGCGCTCCTGAGATGCAGAACAGGATAACATTCGATAAAATAAAACTGGAGGTCGCAGGTCGATGTGCTGGATTCTTGATTCTTAGTTGACACAGTCTCCCAGCACTCCAGGCTTGCTGCGGCCTTACTGCTGTGGAAGCCATGTGGCTGAGTTAAGTGGAGTCATCCTGTTCAATACTGATCGGTTCCAGAGGCTCAGGTGGAGCTCTGGGAAGGAGATGGTCACTGGCTCTCTTGAGCTCTGCTGCCTGCTAGTGGTGGAAGCCGCTTTCAGACCACATCTGAGAAACACAAGGTCACTGGTGAGCGTGGAATTAAGATGTGGACCTGCTATTCACTCTAGCACATCTGCAACACTTGGTAAAGTGTCCTTGCTTATGTGAGGCATATTATAGTCAAAAGATATAGGTTTTATTAATGGAAAAATTATAACTAAGACTTGAGCAATCTCAGACTGAGCGCTTCAGCACTGCAGACCACACAGGGAGTTCCAGTCAGCAGGAGCAACAGTTGCTGCTGTTTGAAGGCTGTCTCTCTCCCTCACCTCTCTCTCCGCAGGTCTCCTGGACAACCCTGAACTTCGTGTGGTCCTTGTCTTTGGCTATAACTGCTGTAAGCTGGGAGCCAGTAACTACATGCATCGGGTGGTCAGCACTTTCAGCAATATGAATATCATCTTGGCTGGAGGCCAGGTGGACAACTTGTCCTCGCTGACTTGTGAGAAGTAAGTCTGAGTACATTGCTCTTCTCCCATGGGTGAATGGAAATGATTTCAGGTTCTCGTTACTTTTAGGTTTTTAAAGAGAAATTAGAGGAATCAAGAGGGGTGGTGGTGTTATGCCTTTAATTCCCATAACTCTGAGTAGGCAAAAACAGGTGAGTCTCTTGAATTCAGTGCCAGCCTTATCTACACTGGTGACTTCAGGCCAACCAAGGCTAAGAAGTGATGCTCTGTCTCAAAAACATACAAAAGAAAAGGAATTGCCAGTATACCAATTCATTCCATTTTGCTCTTGCCAAGATGCTCACTAAACATAATTCTGCTGGCAGTCAAAGAACAAAACTTGGATTTATTGTTTTTAAGAACGTCAGAATCAGGCTCCTTCAGCATTTACCGGTTGATATATTTTAGAGCTCAGGTCCTCCTTGTGGTACTGCTCCTGCAAATGAAGAAGTCATTTGAGTGAGGCTAAAATAAATAAATGCACATGGCTTTTATTTCAGTATAGAGTTGAGTTGCTAACTGAGAAATAGAGGTTTCATAGAAAGAGATCAGGAAGATGAAGTTAAAAGACAAGGGAACTAAAAGGGGAGGTTGAAGCAGCTTGTTTTAAACAGTTCAGGGGCCCTCGTGTGGGAGTTGTCTTACGTGAGCTGAGAATGACCTGGTGCTGAGGTGTGCGTCTGCCGAGTGTGCACAGGAGGGACTATTGCAAGGAAGTCAGCAGCAGCAGCAGCAGCAGCAGATGAGCACAAGTCCCACAGCTGGACCTTGCAAGCTCGTCTTTAAACAGTTACTTGAAGATGAGTTCTTATGTCTGAAGCAAACTTCAACCTTTTAAAGATGTCTCTGTGGTTCACAAATTCTCTTTTGGTTAGACTGTAGCCACGTAAAGTTGTTATGTGTTGGGGAGGAAGAGGAGGAGGAGGAAGAAGAAGAAAGTAGTAGTAGTACTTGGGCCAAGTGTTCATGGAAAACTCGTCAGGTCTAGCCCCTTGCATTGGGGGCAGGAGCTCCTTGTGGGATCTCTAACCTTTTCATGTTGTATCATTTTCTATTTTCTTTTGTAAGGATAAACGTTTCATTCATTTAAAAAAGTCTTAACAGGGCTGATGAGGCACTTGGCACAAGAACTGACAACCTGAGTTTAATCTTTGGGCCACCTGAGCTCTCCATTCATATGTTGCGTGTGTGCGTGTGTGCGTGTGTGCGTGTGTGCGTGTGTGCGTGTGTGTGTGTGTGTGTGTGTGTGTGTGTGTGTGTGTGTGTGTGTGTAGCAGAACAGCTGCTCTTAACCCGAGCCACCTCTCCAGCCATCCCTTACCCCCAGGTGTGAAGCTTTAAAATTCAAATGAGTCAATTTCAGACTCAAAGCAATAAACCAGACAGGAAGCATTGCAAGCCTAGTTGTTCAAGGGCTAGTCAGCACCAAGCTGAAACCTGCAGAGTTGAAATTATCCTCCGTGATTATATTTTTAATATGTTTTTTCATAATTTAACAGTGGATGGGCTGAAATGGAGGAAGATGCCATAATGTGAAACATACTTTAACTAGGTATCGAGGGATGGGGATATCAGTGACAGAGTGCTTGCCAGCGCCACCACTGCAAAGCTGGTGGGTATTTTTGTGTCTACATACACAAACCTACTAGGTTCTGTTTAGAATGGTCAGATAGGGAGTTACTGGGTACTGCTAATCCAGGAGGAGCTTTTGTATAGCTAGCTTTGTATTTGTGCCTGAAAAGGGGGCAGTTGCTTGCCTTTTTTGATCTGCCCTATTTTCAAATAAGTTTATTTTAATCCTTGTCTGAGGGGAATAAACCTCAGACCAAAGCTTAAGTTGCCAAAGTCAGCCAGGAGGTGGTGACGCTTTTCTGGTTCTGTTTGCAGGAACCCTCTGGATGTTGATGCCTCGGGTGTGGTTGGACTGTCATTTAGTGGGCACCGAATCCAGAGTGCCACAGTTCTCCTCAACGAGGATGTAAACGATGCCAAGACCGTCGAGGCTGCCATGCAGCGCCTCAAAGCAGCCAACATCCCTGAAGAGAACACCATTGGCTTCATGTTTGCGTGCGTTGGCCGAGGCTTTCAGTACTACAGAGCCAAGGGGAATGTCGAAGCCGATGCATTTAGGAAGTTTTTCCCCAGTGTCCCCTTATTTGGCTTCTTTGGAAATGGGGAGATTGGATGTGACCGGATCGTCACTGGGAACTTTATACTGAGGAGATGCAGTGAGGTGAAGGAAGAGGACCTGTTCCACAGCTACACGACCATCATGGCTCTCATTCACCTGGGGACCACCAAATGAGCTGCGGCTGCCAGGGGCTTTCACAGGATGTAACTTTGGGGGTTTCTCTTTTTTTAGAAAAATGGAAACTCGAGATAAAAATATTTTAAACAAAACTAGCTATGTGTGTTTTATAGCTTTGATGCTCTGAGATCACTTGGGGATGATTTTTTAATACACAGATGAAGGACAACGTTGATGCTGTGTGCATACAAGTGAGGCTGGCTTTAGGGGCCAGCTAAGCCGATGTGGCTCAACTGCACCAGCTGCTGGGGGCTTGAGGGAGGGCCGCCAGGAAGATGGAGGTTAAGTAGTGGTTGATGAACTTTTAGCAGAATCATGACTTAATAGAGGAGAAAATGAAAGAGTGATTTGAGAAGGTGTAACAAATATTACTGACTTTTTACTTTTCTGATAAAGAACTATCTTTGATTTGTTACTGTATAAAGTTCTTTTTTGTGAATTGGAGTTTTCATAGTAAGGAGGCTGCAAGGGAACAGCCTTTATCACATAGTTCTGAAAATCATATCACCATATTTTGGTTTTACACCAATTAAATATACTTGAAAACCCACCCGACTGGTGTTGTATTTATTGCTGCTGACAAGAGGATGAAGGATGTAACCTGCTCCTCTGACCGTAGTCGAGGTGCTGAGGGAGAGATGTGAGAGCACCGGTCCCCTCAGCATTCAAGCTTACACTGACAGGAACTTTGATTTTTCAGTTACTCCTATGCCTGTATTTCTTAATACTACTGTGTCGAGTGTTCTTAATGGCATGACCTTTGTTTGTTCCCTTCTCCTTATTGCTTGGAATATGGGCAGGTCACCTTGGACACTGCAGAGATGTCAGTACTCCATTGTGTCGAGGACCACAGAGGGACCCTGGGTCCCTGTACACCTGTGTTGCCTGCTTCCAGACTGTCTTACAGACAGAAGTTAACATGGACTTTTTTTTACCAGGTCTGTGTTGCGGGATATTTTTACAAGGTTTGTACCAATAGGACAATAGATAATTTATAAGTAAAATCAAATACAAATATTAAAAAAAATAATTGCCAGTTTGTTACAAACAAATTGCCTAGAAACGGCAACTGCTGATACTAATGAAGCTGCAAAAAAATAAATCACATTTTTAAAAACTGACTTGAGCACAGTAGTGAAGGAATGCTCACACTCTGAGCTGTCTTCTCAAGCAAGGCTGGACGGTCTACCAACAAGGCTTAGAAATGACTGCTTTCTCTGTATACTAACAAATGAAAGTGTTCTGGGGCTCTAGTTTGTTAGACAAGGGTTGCCTCAAGGATACATTTTCACTCCCTTGATCCAAGGAAAGGGGAAGTGGAAACTTGAAATTGAGGTGTAGAAAGCCAGCAGGCAGAATGGTAGTGTGAGGTGTAAGGGGTGTCTCCAGCAGGGGGCCTTGTTAGTTTGCCTTTCTCAATTTTGTTTAAACCTGGATCTTGACTGAGGAGGCCAGTAGCAAAAGACTAATGGTTTGTGCTGCAAATTTAACAAAATGAACATGCAAAGAATTACAGTAGACATAAACTTAGAAATTGAGTATTTTCTAGCCAATTGGTGGAAAATTTAAATAGGGTTGGGGGTGTTTATGTCATTTTAAAACCACAAAATCTGGCTCAAATTAACATCATAAATTTAGTCTTTCATAGAAGCAGAAGACTATGAAACCATGGAAATTCAGGTGATTCACTTGATATTTTGGTTGTAGACTGGGTGTGGGTTGGGTTAATAGTGATGGAACATAGCAGGCTCTATAGTAAAGTCCTATGTGTAAGAGACAGAGTGACATTGTCATTGTGTAGTTATCAGAAAGTTTCTTTAACATTGGCCCTGAGCAGTGGCATGTGCCAGATGTGCTGTTAGTATGGATAGTTCACGTCTGCCCAGCGCCAGATCTGAAGATATGTTTCTAGAACATGTAAACATCACCTGGCAGAAGTCAATAAAGTCACCATGTTTTGGAGTTAAGAGTGTGGAACACTTGCATTTCAGTACCTTTGTCCTGGATTTTGCTCAGGTGAGCGACAGACAAAAACAAAGCATAATGGTGTTGGTTTTAAAAGCAAACAATCAGACTGAGAAACAAATCGAGACCATGGTTGATTTAAAATTTTTCTTAACCATCACCCTGCATTCACTCAGTAAACCTGTCCACTGTTGTCTGATACTACAGACAGGAAGGAAGCAAGTTGACTGGAGAGACATCACCAGTGATGAACTCTGCTGTCATTCCCTAGCAGAAAAACGGCAACAAACACAAGCCAACTGTCAAGCTGGCTCTGTTGGAGTGCTAGGAAACAGGTTCATTCAACAAAAAGAAAGGCCACTCAAGAAAATCAGTCTTTAAAACAGTGCCTAGGTTCTGGGATGCAACTTTTCAGCAACTTTGCCCCCTTGTAACTGATTCTTACAGCAGCAGAAGCCCAGTTCCCATTCATAAGCCGGAGAAGTGCAAGTAGATTTGTATACATATGAACACTCTCAGGATATAGTACCTGAGGTGCTGAGACAAGGCTTTGTTCATTTAGCTTGCGTCTCCTTGGGGTGGGGAGTGAGCACTGCTCATACAAGCTGCAAGGATTCACAGATGACACGGTCTGGAGATGGGCAGAGAGGTAAAGCTGACCGTTTGAGGAGGGACGTAGGGAAGTTAGAACATTTGAAAGCACCCACAGAATGGCATAAATGTCCAGAGAAGTCACTTGCGCTAAAGATCTGATACCCGGCCTTTCGAGTGTGTCTGATCCCTACCCCGCCAGTCTGAGGAAAGCAGCATGAAGAGGGATTGCTATATAAATGGTCGAATATAAGTGGGGAGGGGGTGAAAGGTCTCAAGGGGGCATCTGTAAAAGGTTTGAGAGTAAACACAACTGGATGACACCTTTTGTTAAAGAACAAACCAGGAAACCTTGAGATCAGATTGGGGAGTGGGGAGTGATACCGTTAAAAAAATGACATTCCCCAAAAGAAAAGTAGCAGGTGACCTTCATTCACATTGTAATAAGGCGTGTCTCTGTTTATTCGACTGTTAATTGCTTATCCGGATCTCACAAGTCCCATTACCAGCTTTCCATAGGCAAATGCTTATCCTGCCTCACCGGCTCAAAAGAAGAGTCTCTGAGATTATCACGTTAAAAAGCAAACCGCCTTGTCATCTGGGCCAAAGGGGTGGATCGGGCATTGTCCTGCTGCTGATTTGTTAAGACTGGCTGACAGCCAATGACTGGGCAGGAAGTGGAAGGTGGGACTTCCTTGTAGGGGAAGTTGGGGGTGGGGGTACAAAGGAAGAGGGCTTTTTGCCAGGAGACAGGAAAGGATACAGAGGTGATTATGGGTCTGGAAAGTATAGCTAGCCATGTGATAGGACAGGGCTAGGTGGTCCAGTTAACTTACACGAACTGGATGAGAGGCTGCCCTCTAAGGCCTAAGCTTTTTTATTTAGTTGTTTATTTATTTATTTATTTTTTGTTTTTTCGAGACAGGGTTTCTCTATATAGCCCTGGCTGTCCTGGAACTCACTCTGTAGACCAGGCTGGCCTCGAACTCAGAAATCCGCCTGCCTCTGCCTCCCAAGTGCTGGAATTAAAGGTGTATGCCACCACCGCCCTGCAGGCCTAAGCTTTAAAATGTTAAAAGTTCTGTACAGCTCAGTGTTTTCATCTTAAGCTGAAGGGTCACCTGGGTCATACATCACAGAGGCATGCAGAGGCACAGGGAGATGAATTCCATTCAAAGAATCAAGATAAATGCCAGCAAGATGACTCAGCAGATAAAGGTGCACTTGCCACCAAGACCAACGCAAGTTTGATGTCCATGCCCCACAGGCTGGAAGAAGAGAACTGACATGGAAGTTGTCCTTTGACCTCGGCACATACGCCATGGCATGTATTTGAGAGTCTGTACACAGATCATCAAAAAGGAAGCAACATAAGCTGGTACAGCTTACTAGAGACGTCAGTACACCACAGGACCATGGTAAAGGATAGAATCAGTGTCCACAATGACAAAGGAAATATGAAAAGACAAAACTCTAGAACCCTAAGGAGAAAAGAGTAACAAATGACCTCACCAGGAGCTTTCAGAGGGCGGTGGGGACAGTAAGGGACAATGAGGAAGAAAGCTGAAAGCTGGAACCAAAAGAGTATAAAGAGGAACAGATGAAGCCAGCATGGAGAAATTGTGGGACAGAGATACAAACCACTGCCCAACACAACATTCCTGTTGTCAAGGAAAGACATTTGGTAAAAAACCATCCTTTTGTTTTTAAAAACAATAAATTAGAAGTAGAGGGAGATTACCTCAACATAAAAGCCACCATGAAAATGCCCACTGGAGAGGTGGAGAAGCCTCTCCAGATGAGCAAGAATGCTTGCCTGCACTGTTGCTAGGCAACGTGGACTGACTAGAGCCACTAAGCAAGTAAAAGGAAAGGATGGCATCAAGCTGGAAGAAGTAAAATTATCTCTTCACAAATTATATGATTATACCCAGAAAAGTAAAGATTCCACAAAAGACTTTCAGAACCAATAAACTAACTGCTCTCAGTAGCAGGGTGCAAGGTCAACAGGAAACCAGCATTATTTCTGTACATGAGCCATGAACGATCAAACAGTAGAGCCATTCTCTTGACAACAGTATCAAGAAGAGTGTGATCCTGGGACTGCCATAGAAATGATGGGACACATCCATGTTGATGGGCTGGAAAATTTAAATGTTGACACTACTCAAGACAGCCTACAGAGTCACTGTAATCCTTATCAAAGCCACAACCTCACAGTGCAGTTTTGGATTTTTTTTGGACATAAAAATATACCCTAAAGTTCAGATACAATCTCAGGGGACTTGGAATAGCCAACTCAATCTGGAATATTAACCTAGGATGAGCCATCTGATTCTAGAACAGAGTGATTCTTGCACCAAGTTAAACTGATGGAATAGAGATCCTTAGAAAAGAAGCATCTGTATCATGAATAATTTTTGACAAAAGTACCAAGACTATTTTCAATAAGGAAGATACAATCTTCTAGAAATGCTGGAACTGGGACCTTAAGTAATACCATTTATGAAAATTAGCTCAAAATAAAATTTTAAAAATTTAACAATAGTAGCTAAAAAAAAAAGACAACCTATACAACTCTTGGCGGGGATAGCAGGATAATGAATTTTTCAATGATTTTTGTGGGGTGTTACCAAATGTTTAGGGAACAAAAACATAGATCTAAGCAGTCTAATCAAAAATTAAAATTTTGTGCATAAAAATATATCACACTTAAAGGGAGAAAGGGTTATACATAGAATTGAAAAGCATATTTACAGCGTACAAATGAGGACTTAATTTCCAGAATACAAAACTAAAGTGTAACTACACACACACATTCTCTTTCTCTCTCTCTCTCTCTCTCTCTCTCTCTCTCTCTCTCTCTCACACACACACACACACACACACACACACACACGTCTAATTAAAAGTGACAAGGGACTTAAGCGAGTCTCCAAAGAAGATACATGAATGACTAGCAAACAATATGGCAATATGGCCAGCTTCACTGATGCAAGGGAAATGCATGTTAAACCGCAATGAGATGTCACATCACCCCACTAAGAGGGTGGGTGCTCCCCTTCCTGTCTTCTATCTTTTTCTACACAGTAACACAGATGCACAAGTATTGGACCCCTGACTGCTGGTAAAACTAAAAAATGGTGCATTGGTTACAGAAAACAGTATGATCCTTGTCAAATTAAGCAAAAATTACAATTCAATCCAGAAATTCTACTTGAAATGTAATATTTAAAAATAAAAGCTGGGGTTGGGGTGGTATACATTGTAACATCACTGTATGTTTACAGCAGTCAAGTTGGAAATCATCCAAATATATCTGCATGGTATACAGAATGTAATGTATCCAAACTCAATAACACCGAGCTGTTATTAGAAGAATGGATTTTTGGCTAACATGCTGAATGAAATTAGCCAGTGACAGAGGACAAGGAGTGGTCGTCTCCAGTGACTTTCTGTTGGGAGTTTTGTTTTGTTTTGGTGTTGAGTGATACAAAAGGAAACCTGAAAAAGTACAAAGGTTCAATGTGGGATGATGAAAACGTTCTGAGCAGTGATAGTGACGATGGCTCTACCCAGGGTGAATACACTTCATGGCGCAGAGCTATGTTCTTCAAAGTACTTTAAAACAGTAAATCTCTTGCACGGTGTGCTGCCACTTCTCCTAAGCAGGCTGCCTTGAATAGGACCATTTAGCAAGCCTGTGTCTAAGACATGGAAAATTGAAGCATTACCTTCTCTTGTTGTATGGTCCACCGTCTGTGTTTGCAGGTAATGATACCCTTCACTGGGGATATCTTCAGTGCTCTCTGTGACCTGTGGAGAGTAAGATAGGAGGCTTGGGCACTTGGCTTTCTGCACACACACACACCTACCTGCCCTCTTATCTGCACGCAGGAACCCACAGCTTCCACCTGTGACAGGAGACGAGGTGATTGTACCTCAGACATCCATTCCCACAGCTGCTGTCCCACAGCACCTGTGCACAGTGTGCCAGCATCCCCATCCCAGTCTCTCAAGCGCCCACCTCTGCCTTCCTGCCCTTCCTCTATTCCCTCAAGTTCTAACAAGCTTAATGATCTTTCCCCAAAAAATCACAATTACAAAAGCTGGGTGAGAGGAAGAACGCTGAGGTAAGTCACTGACAGCAAAGACAGCAGCAGGTGCCTAACATGGGAGGGAGACCAAACACAAGGATGGGAGGACCTTGAGGGCAATGCTCTACCAGCAATCTTCAGGGACCCGGGGACGGCCATGTGCAATAGGGAACATGGGCTTGGAGGCCAGCAACACAGCCCAGTGATGCAAAAACTAGCACAGTCCTCAGAACTCATTACTGATAGCAGCAGAACTGACTCTGTGATACTGTCCCGTGACCTCTGCACACACGTACTCTTAAAAAACGAAGAAAAGAAAGTACGAGCTGGAATCCAGACACATGTGGGTTTAAATTCTTGTTCTACTAGTATCTGGATAAAGAACCTTTACCTCTGACCCTCAATTTTCCTCTTACAGAAAGTGCCACTTGCTCCAGACTTTCACAGGTTGTCACGTAAATACATGCTGAGACTTGAGGCCATGGGTTGTCTAACGCAGCAAGTGAGGAAGGTTGCCTACAAGTCTGCATTCCCAGAGTGCAAGGATGATATGAATACGCCTGTCCTGGTCGCTCATGGACTGAATGAAGACCAATGGCACCACCACTGGATGGTGTCTGTCATTCACCACCATGTTCTCTGAGCTTTATGACTCTTACAGCACAGGTCTGAGCTGAGGTTGTTCAGTGTTTCCTAGTGTCTGTAACAGGCTCACCCCAGAGCCCAGCTTTCATCTTACCACATACACCTTATCTCCTTCGCTGTTTTACGGCCTTGCCTACTAACATTTGGCCTTGGAAAAATGCCTGGTCAGATATGCTAATTTTACAAGCTGATAGTCACCCTATCCCAGCTTTTGGTTGTTATGGTCTCATGGTCTTTTTTCTTCCATTAAAAAAATACTCATTCCTCCCAGCATAGTGGTTCACTCCTGTACTTCCAGCACTTGGGAAGCAGAGGCAAGAGTATTCTTTCAAGTTTGAGGCAAGCTTGGGCTATACAGTTAGTTCTATGGCCTCCTAAGCCGTGAAATACAACTTAATCTAAGAAATAAACAAAACCCTAACTGATCTATGAAGAAAAAATTTGAATTTAAGATTCTCCCCAGTGTAAGGTAATATGGAAAGGCTGCAAAATTGCTTCCTATTCTTTTCAATATATTTTAAAATTATGTGTATGTGGCATGGGACATGTTATGTATACATGAAGTCAGAGGGATAAGACCTCCTGGAACTGGAGTTACAGGTGGTCGTGAGCTGCCCAGCATAGCTGCTGGGAGCTGAGCAGTATGTGCCTTTAACCCCAGGGCTATCTTCCAGCCACTTCTCTTTCCTTTTACAAATGTGTCTTTGCACATAGGAAAGAGTTAAACATGTTTTATCTGTACATAGTTTATAAAAAAGCAAACCATCACTAAGTTTTACTGATCCATCAACTACTCTGAGAAACCATATCCAGAAGCGTGAAAGAGAGAGAGATGCCCGTACAGTCAGGACTCATGCCAGGGTGCTGTTTCTACACACACCCTTTTGGACTGGGCCCCCATTTGTGGTAACTTTCCAGTTCACGGCACAATAATAAAACCCTGCAGCTTTCTTGGAGGACTCTGACTGCTTGGTTCACTGTCAGGCATTTTATCAAGGAGTGTGACTCCAGACATTCTTGCTACAGAGTAAGCAAAGGGCAACTCAAACCATTAATTAGAGCTGCCACTAAGCTACAGAGTAAGGGACACATTCTCTTAGCAACTTGAGACTGTGATCATTTTGAGCACATGGAAGCTCAATGCATCACCTGATAACATCATTAATTATAGTGTGTCTCTCACTCTGGTTGACTTTGTTGTGAAATATGTAACAGCATTTACCACTGTAGCCATGGTCAAGTTTAGTGACATCAGGTACAGTCACATACAAGGAATCACCATCATCTCCTGAAACTTTTTACTACTGCAAACTAAAGCTCTATAATTAAGCAACCACTGTCTCCGCAGTCCCGGGGACAGCAGCTACACGTTCTGTTCCCGTGCATTTGGATGCTCTAGGATCGCTCTTTAGTGGAGTTAACACAGTACTCGTTTTGAGTCTGGCTTTTTCACTCAGCATAACGTCTTCAGAGTACAGTATTCTTCATATAGAGAGTCTTCATGCTATAGTATCAGAATGCTATTCCCTTTTAAGGCTAAGCAATGTTCCATTTATATGCATCCACTTATCTTATCCGTTCATCAGTGGACATCTGAGTCGTTTTCCATCTTTTGACTATTATGAGTGCAGCTTCTAAGAGTGACGGTGTATAGATAGATATCTGCTCATGTGTGGAACCTCACACTAGTCAACTGTTGGATAAAATGGCAATTCCGTGGTTTGGTTTAAGACCATCACAGTGTTTATCCAGGTGACTCTAACATCTTATATTCTTACCAGCAATACACACGGGTTCCAATTTCTGTATATCCTTGTCAACCCATGGTCTTTAGCAGTTACTGTCCTAGTGTGTGATGAGTCCACACTCCCTTTATGTCCTCCGCAGCCAGCGATGCGATGCTGGACATCTCACAAGCTGTTGGGGAAACGTCTGTGGAAATCCTATGCCAATTTTTAAACTGGGTTGTTTTTATTTGTTATGAGTTATTTATTCAAGAGTATTTCTTGCTATCAATTTTAAGTTGCTATTAAAACAATAGTTCTCATGATGGCATTTCCACACATGTGTGCAATTTCATGCACATTGTTCACATTTGCCCCTTATTACCTTTGACTTATTGCCCCCTGCCCCCTCTTCACTCCCTCCTATAGTGGAATTACTCCAAGTCTTGGCAGAGAAACTCCGTCTTGCCGTACGATGCCATTTAAAGGTTCTGTGTGCTGGACTGCAGCAAAAATGGACCATGCTTTCCAGGTCAGTGCTACCGAGAGCAGCAAGTCTCTGTAAGACATAAGGCAGCATTGACATGGGCTCTAACCTTTGCAGAGTCTGACTTGTCTGCGCCTTGTTGCCTGAACCTGCTGTCACCTCTCCTGACTTAACACTAGGTAGCACTCTGAGCCCAGGTTTGTACCAGTTCTGCTGCCAACTGAGAACCATACGGAGAAGCTCAGAGAACCATACAGGGAGCTCAGTGGGCGGGCCTTGATTCTTGGTGTGCTGTGCATTACCTGTAAGAAACCCTAAGGAACTCATCTCCCGTGTCAAGCTGAAACTGGTAGAAGCTTTTTCAGGCCTGTCTGCTCTTGTTTGCGGTAAATAGATGTTTCTTTACATTTTCCCAAGAGAGAGTCACACACCCTTCAAAGACAGCCTCCTGTTTCTTTTCATGCATACATGTGTACATGAAATAAATTCTCTATATGACCCAGTGTTAAATAAACCAGGTCTATCACCCTGGAAATACTTTTCAGGGCCATCTGCAGTCATGCCCATTCTGACCCTGAACCTGAGCAAGCCACTCACCTATCTTAATACAAAGGCAAATGCACGTGGGGAGCCCTGCAAATCCTGCCTCACAGCACAACTGAGTCACGTGACAGCGAACGTGGCTGTGTGGTGCTGAGCTACGGCCGTCCATTTTTACAGGCACAGCAATGGACTTCCGGGTGATCTGCACTCCTCGGACACAGGGAGGAACGCTGTTGTGAACATTCAGGCTCTTTATACAAACCCACGTTTTTGTTTACTTGGGAAGCCAACTAGGAAGGGACTTGCCGGGCTATGCAAACGTGTGCCCTAATAGACTGTCCACACCTCTTTATAGTCTCAGCATCAGTGAACTGCTCTTCTCCATATCCCACAAAACCCACAGCAGAGTTAGTGCATTAACTGGTATCCTATCTTTGTTTTTTTGGTCTTCTAGTGAATTACAATGTCAAGTACTCTGCACGGGCTTATTGGCCATTTGTGTGTTTTCTTTGGTAAAATGGCTACACTTTAGTTCTCTCTTTTTCTGTTACTGAGTTGAGACACTTCCGTTGAACGAGTTCTGGTGATTATTATACCATCTGTCAGATATATGATTTGAAAATGTTTTCCTCCTATTTTGTGCCTTGTATTTCATTTTTACAGTGGAATCATTTGAAGCATGGAAATTTGTCATTTGCACATAGTCCAGTCTACCAAGTATTTTACCAGTTGTGCCCTCCATAGTCCATCTTTGCCTCATAGGATGGCATAAAGAGTTTTTCCTACAAGGTTTATATTTTAGTTCTTAAATTCACAATCATCATGAGTTATTTGCATATATGGCGGGGGGTGGGAGGGCGGTGAATTTATCTTCTTGCATGTGGCCATGTGACTGTCACTGTGTGGGAGCCCAGTGTCTAGAGCCCTGCGTTCCCCTCACACCAGCTCCACGCTGGCTAAACTAGGCCAGATTTGCCATAAGCTGGCTGTTGGTAGTTTGAGCCCGGCAGCGTGCTGTTAAATCATTGCTTCCCTGTCCCAGGCCCTGGCGTATCCCCAGTGGTGTGTCACAGTCACCCCACCAGCTACCACAAAAACACCTGCTGCAATGTATTGGGATGCACCAGTCTCTGGGAAAATTCACGTTAGGGAGAATTGGCATCTGAATATTATACTTTCCAAAGTCATCAGTACAGAAATCCCCACAAGTAGTCGGGTCTGTCTTTTCTTTTTTCTTAGCACTACTGCAGATTTTATAGCACAGATCTTTATTTGTTACTTTTCTACTGATGTGGTAAAACGCTGTGGCTGACGTAGTGTATAGAAGGAAGGCTTTGCTTGGCTTACAATGGTTCGGGGGTGGGGTTAGGAGTCCGACATGGCAGGGAAGTGTATCAGTAAGCTGCAGACATATTGTCTGGAATACGGCTGAGACCCATAAGCAGGAGACAGAACACACTGGGAATCGCATGATTCTTTAAAAATCTCAAAGTTCACCCACAGTGACACACCTCCTCCAACAAGGCCACCCCCACTAATCCTTCCCAAGCAGTTCTACCACCTTGAGGCCAAATATTCAAGTACACGAGCCTGGGTGGGGGGAGGGGTCAATTCCTGTCCCTGGTTGTTCCATGCCATCAAGCCCAGCATTTTAAAAAAAGATTTATTTCATTTTAGTGTATGTACATTTGTGTGTGTGTGCAGGCATGCGTATGCACATATGTATGCATGTACATGCACGTGTGTATGTGTGCATGTCTATGCACCTGTGTGCCCATGTGTACAAATGTGTGTGCATGTGTGTGCACATGTGTGTGCATGTGTATGCATATGTATGTGCATGCATGTGTATGCACATGTGCATGTACATGTATGCATATATGCATGCATTGTGCATGTGTGTCCATGCACAGATGCAACTGCATACTGAGAACAGAGGTCAACTCTTGCTTCACATGGCTTGTTCATTTTTCATTTTTTTTTTCAAGTAAGAGGAAGGAAATCCAGTGCATGCTGTCTCATTTTGCCAGAAAAATCTCAAGACAGCATGAAAACACTGACTTGTCTACAGTTTTCCCAATGATTCTCTCACTCCTAAGGTAGCTCCCTGCCCGGCCCCCAGCACAGCCCACATCAGGATGGTTCTGGAACACTGCTCCTCAAATCTGCTGCAGCACATTACAGCTGAGTTCATCACTTCAGGTGCTGAACTTCATATAATTTCACATATTTATTTTGTGAAAAAATATTACTTCTGTCACACTGCTAATAAAAAATTAATGTGCTGGGCGGTGATGCCTCATGCCTTTAATCCCAGCACTCGGGAGGTAGAGGCTAGCAGATCTCCAATGCCAGCCTGGTCTACGGAGTGGGTTCAGCCAGAGCACACAGAGAAACTCTGTCTTAAAAAACAAACACAGAAAAGAAAAGAGAAGAAAAGAGAAGAAGAGAAAAGAAAAGGAAAGGAAAGAAGAAAAAAGAAAAAAGGAAAAAGAAAAGTATTCTCAAGTGAAAAGGGGGAAGTCTTAGGCCGCCCTTCTTTGAATGGCTGTGAACACAAGTCTGTATACACAACAGCAAGGATCTCACTGTGCCCCTAACTGTCCCATTTGGACTTTACTCACTGTGCCGGGTACTGGTATTGCTTGTCTCTCCCAGGCTGATCTCACACTGGACTGAGCTGGTCCTCTGAAGGTGGCCTTTCCTGGCACCAGAGACAAGAGAAATTACAAATGAAAAATGGATAACTTGAAAACATGTCAGAAGAATCAGAAAGAAAATTAATCTTGAATATTTGGAAGCACAATCTCTCCTAATACTGTAGAGCTGTCCTAATGTCGTACAACCTACACACACACCTTAGCCAACCTGCCCGCAGAGGTGGCACTCTGGATGCTGAGCTGAGCCTACAAGCATGGCATTGATGCTGAGTCTTAGGGTGGTATTTCTGTAAAGAGATTATTCCTACTGTTGTGGACGCATTTATGTAATATGGGATGGCTTTAGTGAACAACTCTAATTCATGACAATAAAAAATCATTTTCAACCTAAGCTTCATCAGCTTCGGGTCATCTGATTGTAACTTGATACAGGATATAATTTGCGACCATGTGACTCTTAAGAACTATTCTAAATATTAAAATGAAAATCGAGATGTCAAAAGTAGCTTTATTTTTTTAATATGTCAACCCCAGCATATTAATTTATGTTAGTGAAAATGAATCACCATCATCTAGCCATAGCAAAATGGCGTTTTCTAAAAGTCCACCAGCCTTTTATCCTAAAATGCCCATTTTAGCGCTAGGAGTGGGGACATTTTGGACTTCATCATTCAGGTGTCATCACCTCCTAAGTTACAGAAAGTCCAAGGCCTCAGCTCGAAGCACCTTCAACCACCAATAGGTCAGAGTCGATAGAGAACTATTTGTTTTTGTTTATTAAACATTTTGTTTTTTCAAATTATTATTATTTCCTGTCCACCCTCCCACTGTTTCTCATCCCATACCTCCCCTCCAAACACCCCCTCCCATCTCCAAGATGTCCTCACCCCACCCCACCCCAACCCCACCAGACCTCCCCACACCCTGGGGCCTCAGGTCTCTCGAGGGTTAGGCATGTCTTCTCTCACTGAGGCCAGACCAGGCAGCCCTCTGTGTATGTGTGGGGGCCTCAGACCTGCTCATGCATGCTGCCTCAGAATCGGTGTTCTGTGGTTTTATAAGGCTGTGCTATGCATGTGTTCTTCCTTAACCCACCTGACAAGTGCTGAATCTGTGGGTGACTTAATATTCTTAATGTCTCAGCTATCACCCTCTTCAAACACTGTCCCAAGTCTTTTCTTCCCCAAACTCCAGAATATAAATTAGACATAGTCACTGTTTGCCACGTTTCTTAATCGTTCCTTAATATTTTACAGTTCTTTTTTTCCTTAGGCTTGGGGTACTTTTTCATTTTTCATCTCTCCTCCAGTGCCTTTTTTTCCTCCCTCTCCTCTCTTTCTGTTTCTGCCTCCCTTCCACTCCTCCCCTTACCATTTCTAATCTGCTTAAAAACACAAACTAAACTGAAAAATAGTAAGCTAAGATATACTGAATTTTTTATTATAATTTTATTTTGTCAACCTTTGTATTGGCAGTTGCAAAATATGCTCTTTTGTAAACATATTTTTAAATTATATTTATATATTTTTTTTGTGTATAGGTGCTTTGCCTACATGTATGTATATGTACCATATGTGCGCCTGGTGCCTGAGGAATTCAGAAGAGAGGTCAGATCCTCTGTAAACTAGAGTTATAGACAGTTGTTAGACACCTTGTGGGTGCTTGGAATCAAACCCAGTTTCTCTGTAAGAGCGACAAGTGCTTTTAACCACGGAGCCATCGCTCTGTTCCCATTTATCTTTCTGTGCATATTAAATATACTTACTTTATATCATGGTTTGATTGTCCCCACAAACAAACACTTTGAATATCTGATTCTACTCTCAGTTTGCAGCATAAAATTTGGAGAATGAATTTAAGTCACTGCAAGGTCATGGTTATTCCAGCCAAATCTAGATTATCAGGGCTAATATTACATAAGGTAGTTCAATAAACAGTCAACATCGAATGAACATTCTACTTCCAAGTCAGCAGTGCAGTGAATGATGAACAGATTAGTCAGCTGACCTCCCCCTCGGTACACTATTTTGGAAGACATGCTTGGTATCAGAAGAGTTCATTATCTGGCTTCCTGAAGATCTGTGCACTTAGAGCATTTGTTCTCTTTCTCTGTGTCAGTAAGTAATCTTATACTGTGAGATGCCTCTTCAGGTAAAGAATGCCAGTGCCTTCTTTACGATCTGGTTTGTGCTCGTTTCTGTCAATCAGTCTGGACTACTTGATACTCTTAACCTTTCCCAGTAGACATTAGAAATACTATGGGCTCAGGATACCGAGCTACTTAACATTTGTGATTAGAGGTTTTTCTTTTCTCTTTGTCTTTGTGTTTTGAGGCAGGCTCCCTCTAAGTAGTAGAGGCTAGCCTTGGGCCACTGGCTCATGTCTGATACTCCCGGCTTAGAAGTTCTTTTTCCATGAGCACCATTCTTATCTGTTCCTCCATTCCTTGTACCTACATACCTATACTTTCTGTGTATAGGCTTTTGAGACTTCTTTTTTAGGAAAGGATTCCCCTGATAGACAAGCTTGCCTGGAACTCACAGCAATCCTCCTGTGTCAGCCTCCCAAGTGTTAGGATTACAGGTGTAAGCCTGGGCCAAAAGTTATCATGTAGAATGGTATAGAGCACTTCAGAGTAGAATTTTCTTCCTTGTGCACAGGGTATCACTCTATAAATCAGGCTGGCCTGAAATTTACTATGTAACCCAGGTTGGCCTTAAACTTATAACATTCCTCCTTTCTCAGACTTTCCAGAGCTGGAATTACAAACATAAACCACTACACCTAGCTTAGATCACAATATTTCTGAGTTCTGCTTCCAGTCTATAGAGCAACGGTATTTTGCTCTTTTATGAAAATTTTATCACTCCGTGGCACTCAGTACATTTGGGATATACCACTTCCTTTACAAATTCAAAGGTTAGTAAAGGAATTCAGTTGCAGACAACTGTACCTACATTAAAGTTCTACCGATTTAAAAAACAAAACAAAAACCGCAAGCCACTCTTAGCTACTCCCAGTGGAATACTAGATTCTCTTGTGGAATACTAGAGTTCTTTAGTCACTATGTGACACCTGCTTCTGGTTTTTCTACTCAGCACATGGAGGAGCTGCATTTACTATAGCTCTTTGTAACTGAGTAGGTCTGTGAAAGGAATGTCAGAGTATCTGCGTCACTTCCGGGACAGAGGAAGTGTCAGAGTATCTGCGTCACTTCTGGGACAGATCATCTTGAGTGCAAGGCACTCTAGAGCTTTTTTCCCTGCGCTTGTGATGGCCGCTTTGTAGCCTGATGGCGTGCTAACCCATAAGGATTATATATTACGAATAAGAAAGCTTTTGTTTTTAAGTGATTTAACTATTAAGGCTGCATCACTCATTCTGCAGGGCCCACATGGCCCGATTACCACTCAAGGGCCCAACATTTCAAACATCATTAACACAGGGCTTTGGGGAAGTTGATTCTAATGAAATCTGAAGAACAAATTCAAGCCATAGTAAGTCAGTTGATAGTTACTACAGTCAAACCTAGATTGTCAGAGGACTTACTACACAGACTAGCCCAATCAATAGAAGATAAAAATCTATTTCCAACTAATATAAATAATGAGAAGTTAGAATTAGCTAAGCTGAGCTTTTTCTTAGCATATTTTACTGGAAGACATACATAGAGGAATAGAATAAGAGACCGTTATTCAGTTTTTCCAAAATGTTTTAGAGTGAAGATAAACCAAGATGGCTCATTTAATACTTCATAATATACTACCCTAAACTCAGTAGATTAAAATTTTATTTCTCATGGTTCTACTGGTTGACAGTTGAGCTTTTTTTTTTTTTTTTTTTTAAACCTGGGTGTCCTCTGTGTAATTGCAGGTGACCAGGAGATAATACAAGCCAACTAAAGGTTCAAACGAGCAGGTTGTCTAGGGTATCCATTCAAATGGCTAGCAGTTGCTGCAAGCTGGGTGTCCAGCTGGACCTGCTTGGTTTCTCTGCTTAGGTTTGTTACAGGATACTCCCTGGTTCGAAGATGGAACTTTTAGTCCATTTAAAGTCTGTGTTCTTAAATGTAGCATTTACACAATCATAGTAATCATAGTGCCTATCTAAAGAAATAAACTATTTCTTATCACAGTTCAACAGCTTGAACTCAGAACCTCATGCCTGCCGGACAAGCACACTATCGCTGAACTACACAGCCCAGCCAGCACAAAACTCTAACCCTTGCTGCCTGAGTAGCAGGGTCACACCAAGATGGCACATGCGGACGGCAGATCACATGGGAATGGCAGATCACATGGGAAGCAAGGTCACACTAAGACTGCACATGCGAATAGAAGATCCCATGGGAACCACAGTCTGGTGTAATTCTGCAGCGTTCTGATGCAAAAATTATGAGATAACATCTACCAAATGACACCTTGAGATAAAATATACAACATCTTTTAAAAAAGCAAAGTCCCTCCAAATTTTAAACAGGGTTATGAGATATTATTTTATTCACATCTTATTCTTGGAATCTTAACTTCTCAACCCAACTTGGTTTATGGTGACTGTTGGCTCCATTTTCCCAATCATATGAGAGAAACCAGTGCACACATAATACTGATTAATACAAATAACCACTAAACTTAATTCCATATTCTCTTTTCAAAAACTTTTTTTCCCCAAAACACTGAAGATCAATCAAAAGGAATCAATAAAAGTGATCTTTGATAGATAGCCTTGTAACATGTAAACTTGCCTTTGGTTTCTCTTAGGAGTTACCAGTTTCTCCAATTTAACTCTGTTTCTTTATCTGTCTCTCTAGATTTAAACAGCCCATGAATTTAGGGGATGTTTCTACCTTGTTGGCTGCTATGTTTATCATGCCTAGCACATGGTAAGGCAGACACCAGCCGGGCACCTTAAGCTTCTAAAGCACTGGGTGATCACTTTGCTTTACATATTCAAAACTTACTAAGAAACATCTCACCCAAATACTCAAGTGACTTCAGCACGGTACTGTAGTGAGCGTGGGTCCACCTAGCTCAGAGGTTATCAAGGCAAATGACTCCGACGGTGACAAAGACCGAGATAAAACTGCCTAAGCTGCTTTTAAAGCGACTTATTAGTTTATAACAAAACTGTATTAGAGAGATAACGCCAGCTATAAAACAGAATCTGCAGAAACACTAGAAGCAAAGAGCCTGTTACTTAGAGGCTGCTGCTTGTGCCCTGCTTTCCTCTTTCCGATGGTCCATTTCCACTTCAGTTACCTGCACAGGAAGCAGAGCGCCGCGATGGCAAGAGTGACCAGGACTGCCAGGGCCACGAAAGCTGCCGACAGGTTACTTTTGCTTTGGATGCTGGAGCTTGGGAGAAAAATCTCTTCGCAACGAGCGCCTGTATAATTTTCAATGCACCTACAGGATAAAAGTTTAGATAAAGATCACACACTGATGTGGACAATATACGGTCTCCGGCTGGAAGGAAGGGAAAGGCCTCTGCTTTTCAGACTGTGAATGAGGCGTAGGCATGCCCGATGCGGTGCGCTTAGAGCCACGGCTACAGACAAATGCATTACTTTACACTTGCCTCCTTCCTTTTACCGTTCTTCAGCAGCTTAGAGTCTGGAGGGATTGGGTAGCACTCAGACTCCACATTTGGACAGTGTTGATGCCTTCTGGGTTTGACTTCTCTGCCTGCCAACTTTTGTAGATGGGTCTTGCAATGTTGTTTCTCTAGTTGTCCTCAACCCCCTGGCTCCAGTGATCCTCCTGCCTCAGCTTTTCAAGTAGCTGGGACTGCAGGTACATGCCACCAAAGGCTTAAAGTTTACATTTCCAGGGGTGTAACTGTTCATATATAACTCAATTTCATCTACAACTTATTTTATTATATTTTGTATAGATGTATGGATGATTGCAACTTTTTCTCAAATTTACTGTTTCTTCTAAACCCTGAGTTATTTGATATCTTCCCTACTGGTTCAAAAATACCTTCTTGAACTTAAGTCAACTTTGCTAACCACATTTCTTCAGAGATAACATGAAACTGCAAAGAGTAACACAAGAAGCAGTCTTTGATATGGCCAGTTAGCCGGTTTTTCCATGTTTACATGTTCAAATGATTACTGCACATTAACAAGAATTACGCTCTTTGGAGCCCCATCCATTTAAAACACAGTAGAATTTAAAATAAAAAAAAATATTTCAGCTGGAAATGTTGGCACGCATCTGTAGTCCTTGCACTTGGGAAGCTGAGGCAGGAGGATCGACTCAAATTCAAGGCCAGCCTGGGATACGTGATGAGTTTTAGGCCAGCCCATACTGGAGTGTGAAACTCTATTTCAAAACAAGTTTTTCTTTTTAATATGAGCATTTGTTTAGAAAGTAACACCAGAAGTTATGTAGGAAATTCACAATGTATATATAGTAACAATGCTACATTAAAATGAGTATGTATGCACACAGATACATACTTTAAGGTATTTTTTTTAACAAAAAAGAACCCCATAAAGGTTGATTTTAGAAAACTAGTTTCATCTTCCTTTCTTTTCAGAGTAGGTGGGCATTTAGACATCTATTCTCTCTGCTGCCCACACTGTGCTACTGAGGACAACAGGCCTAGAGGACTAGCTCTGAGCTAATAATAACTGGTTTAACAACTAACCCTATAGGATAACTATGGCCTACCTGTACATAGGAAGAGAACAGTTCAGCACAGAGAGTGAATTTTACTGACCAAAGAATAGAAGTTTTATAATCCTAGTGCCACCCGATGAAGGCAGGAGGTTACTGCTGTTGGCTTTGTCCGGGCTTCAGACAATACAGTCTTTCTCTCAAACTACTGTGAAGATTGGTTTGTGGCGACAAGGGAAGGCAGCCTCAGGACAGGATACAAAACACCATGTGAAAGATATTTTAGGAAAAACTATAATTACTTACAGTATAAACATTAAAATATTATTTTCTCTTTGGGGCTAGAGAGAAGGGTCAGTGGTTAAGAGCACTGGTTGCTCTTCCAGAGGACCTGGGTTCAATTCTCAGTACCCACATGGAGGCTCACAACCATCTGTAATTACAGCCCTTTTTTTTGGTCTCTGAAGGCACCAGGCATACATGGAGTGCAGGGACAGATGCAGACAAATCAATTATACACATAAAATAAATAAACAAATAAAACATGAAAGGACTATTATTCCTATAGACTCAATTAAGTACACACGAGAAGGAAAAAAAGATAAGTGAAAGTTCATTTTGTTCTCTAGTTTCATTCCTACTGCCCAGGACTGACAGACAGACAAAGACACAGACAGCACATGCGCGCACACACACACACACACACACACAGACAAATGAACATACACATATACACACACACTTTCAGAATACAGCTTTATAAACTATGGTTTATAACCTTCTATGAGGTCACAGAGGTCACAGAGCTTAGCCTGTGGGGTTATGGAAAATTTGGCAACAGTAAAAGATATCAGAACATACAAAGTCCCAAACACAGTTCTCAGTTAAACTGATTCCACGGTGATTCTGCCGAGCTCATTTCCCTTCAGGACAGCGTGACTCTGCAAGCTTCTTCCTGAACACACACTTTACACTGCACATGTAGTCACACACAACCCTGACAGATGCTACCTGTTACGCCTCTGCTCAGATTTAAGACCAGTGTGCATTGTAAACTGCAGTGTTTTTACTAGGCATGCGAAGTTTTCTATTATAAAAACACAATGGTTTAATTACGGGAAACAAAGGCTTTGATATATTCCTCTTGTCATTACTTAGCATGAAAGCATCAAAACAGTACATCTTTGGATTATATTGTCAGAACATTTGAATTTAAAATTGCTATTTAAGTTGCTAACTTTTAAATAAAAAAAATAACTAAATGAATTTTGTCTTGGCGTGAGGGCAGAATTCCTAGTAGTTTCTGAAATGGGCCTAATACGCTTCTGCTGCTCTAAGCTATGTATCACGGTGAAGGAGGATCATAAAATACCCGTCAGCCTTGAAAAGTGCTGGAGATGCTTCCTGGCATTCAGTATCAAGTATGTAAATTTGCTTTTATCACTAACAAACATAACTTATATCATCAACAAAGAACTAAACTATTGTAGCAAAGAATTGTTTTAAAAATAAATGTTCTTGTAATTATCAGCAAATTCTTGGCATGTATCCCAATTTTATCCACGTATATATCCGGGGTCAGGGAGAGGTTTCTTAGGTGAAAAGGGTGGAGGGTGGGAGCAGTTGATAAGTCCCCTCGAAGGAAACCCAGAGGGCCTGTCACACAGCACAAAACAAACACAGGAAAGGCAGCTTTCCACAAGATAACCCTGCTTTGAATTCAGTTCCAAGAGTTGTTCTAGATGCATAAAAATACAAATAAAAACTCTCTCACAATTTCCTTAAGATTACTTTTGTATTTAAATAGAATCCAATTACCATGTATGCCTTACAGAGGTGGGTTTTTTGTTTGTTTGTTTTTGTTTTAGAAAATTTTAGCCACTGAAAGAAAGCCCTGTGTAGTCCAGGAACGGTGTGTGTGCAGCTCAGTGCTCAGGTCAGGATTGAAGCAAACAGAAAAAGGCACAAGAGAGAAACGATCAGCTGAGTTCTCTATCATCCACGTCTGGGAAAAAGTAACATACTGGTGGATATTTTAAGCAAAATAACATCAAAAAATGTTGTTATTCTTCACCTCATTAAATCTGAACTCGGAGAAAAGAACAGACACATTGTACTGCTTGGCTAACCTACAAGTGAATTTTGTTTTTCCGGATATTTAGCATATAAATAAGGGGATACTGCCTATCCAGTGCTGTACATAAGGAGCCTGCTCTGAAAGCTCTGTCTAACTTATAAAAATGTTATGGCTTCAGCTGTAACACAAGTGTTGTTTCAAGCAAACGTAAGTCAAGGACGGTAGAGTGGAGACAGCAGCCGTGGAGTAGCACTAGCGTGAGCTGAAGGTCAAGTGTCATAGCGGCATTTGCACAGAGCTAAGCAGCCTCTGTCTTTATGTAAGTAACTCTTGCTAAAGTATTCCTGGCCTTCACTTCTGTACAGGCTGTCAATTCCCAAAAGGTTGTGTCATCTAATTTGATGAACGCCAAGTGCTAACACACTTTCCTGGAACTGATGATTAATGCCAGAATGTGTATAGTTGCCCAGTGACGTGAGAATCTTCCAAACACAGAATCCATTTTACAGTGGTTTTCTAGATGCACCAAAGAGTTTCACCAGAGGCATCGAAGCTGTGTTTAGTGCACTGGACATGAGAAAAGTTCATCTGATTTTGTATTCAGGGAAAGTTGCTATGATACTGAAGGCCTTCAGCGAGAGTAAAGGAACCAAACTTTTACTTGTGAGACTGAGATAGGAGGATTACTATGAGTTCAAGACTAGGCTGGGATATTTGGGGTGACCCCCTTTAAAAGCCAGGCTAGGGTATTTGGGGTGACTCCCTTTAAAAGCCATGCTGGGATATTTGAGGTGACTCCCTTTAAAAGCAAAACAAACACAAGGCACAAGAACCAGGAAGTTGTAAATCCTAAACAGATGTGGCTGTGTTCCAAAATATGAACACTGGACTTTAGGCAAGAAAAAACTAGATATATACTGTCATAAGTACCTGTCATATGTCCTGACCTTGCTGTGGACCACGTAAGCTTTACGACATGAAGCCAAAGTAATCACCCCTGCCTTAGTTCTTTCGCTTAGTTATTTTCATAATTGAGCAAGACATCTGTCAGTGTCATAAGACAGCAGGATGCTGCCCAGGTGAGAGAGGAATGTGAGTAATCTCTTTTCAAAAGTCAAGGCCAGACTCCAGGTAAGAAACTAGGAGTATGGTGGCCAATAAAAATGCTACTTTTACACTTCCCAGAAACGAGACACAAGAACTGAACTACAAAAGAATCACTAACAACAACAACAAACCCCCCACCCAACCCTCAACTCCAATATCTTTCCACTTGGACTGAGCTACCCTGAAAGGAAGAATCCTAACACTGTGACCCCAGAGCTGATCCAACTTCATGAACCCCATATGACAATCAAAGTTCAGCCTAAAACTCATTTAAAAAAAAAATGAGAACAAACCAAAACTAAAACCGTTACAAGAGTTCAAGAAAATACACTTACATGGTTTGGATCCACTTAGTCTGAGGCTATCTGATATACAGACACACGCCAAAATCCTGTCAAATGTAACAGATGTGTATAGGCCAAGAACTCAGAGATGACTGGCTAGCAACCTTTGCCACTTTCATTACCTGGTGCCACAAAAGCATTAAAATCTACTAGGTTGATTATGCCTGGTGATATTTAGTCAATACCCACTCTGCCAAACCAGCTATTTATGCCTCATGTGTGACATTTGCACCCTTGAGGACTGATAATTATGA